AATAAATTGTCATCTCCACCCTCAAAATTCACTATAAACCACTTTAATTTGCAGGAAAAACAACGTATATCAAATATTAGGAAGACCTTCCAATAAGGACACCAGGCTACCATATACTCTACCATGAGATATTGTTCAACCTCATTCAAGGTGCTTTAAAGTTCAGATGCACTTTGTCACTGGATACATTAACCTCACTGCAACACAGAGGAGAAAACCAGCTGGGCAGTCAGCTTGACTTCTAGCTCTACCTTTACACCAAATCTTAAATACTACATTTAAAGCTATTTACAAATCCTACTTCCTGAATGCAAAATACTCCTCCTTTTCCTTATAATTTCAGTTCTGAAGATTCAGTTGACCTGAGGAGATAACCATCTTTGCCGTTCCACAGGTTTCAGTGATGTAATTCTCAGTAAATGATTTTCAGGTCAAATAATAGTTTCTCTATCGCTCTGGTGATATTCAGCTATGTAAGAAAATAATGTTAAAGTACAATACAAAGATCTCCTAACAAAATAAAGGAAATTACAACTAAAACTCCTTGCTTGCAGAAAGTGTTGAACCAATACGGTGCCATTTTCACAGCAGGAGCCACTGCAGTAAAAGCAGGATCACGTTCTAGCCAAAGAGTAGCTGAGATACCCAAAATATGGGTCAGGCACTACTGCAAATAGAGCTCCAACCAGACTCACACCTAAACAAGTCTCCAAACAGCCACAGCTGATACTCCTTAAGGTTTTCAAAGCAAACCTGCAAAACAGATATTATATGAGGCCTTTAAAAGCTTAAGAATTTATTACAGAATTAATTCACTGCAGGTCATCAGGTTTTATGCTATAAATTCTTGCACCCATTAAACTCAATACATGACAACCTGGGTGGTCTACAGCACCTTTCCCCAGCATTTCCCTGGCACTGACCCACACTGTGGGTTGGCCCCATTCCCTCAGCCCCTCACTGTTCCTCTCATCCAACTGTTTATGGATTGCCAAAGGCAACAAGGTACATGATACAGCCTGATGGGGCTTACAGTTCTAATCATATTTAGCCAATGATTCCAATTAACTTTTAATCAACCTTATAAGAGCATTTTACATACTGGAAAACTATCACCTCCCTCCTCAGCCTTTTCTTTTTCCCTCACAGGAAATAAAAAGCAAAACTGGTTCCCTTCCTGGGCTCTTCTCTGAACTCTACTCATCTAAGTTTTTCTTGAATTGTGTTACGTTGTAATCTCCTCTGAGTTCTCTTTCTCATGAAGAATTGAAACTTGTAACTCCTCATTACAAGTCATAGGACTACACCCCAAAGTTGGAATTTGACTTTCATGGGATCATATCACCGACTTTTAATCAGCTGCTAATGCACTATAACCCCCAGGAGTCTATCCTATTGCAACAGTGCTTAAGGAATTATTTCTCAATTTTTAGTTTGATTCTTACTTGGAAAGTCCTTTGCACTTGCCTCAGCCAAGCACTATCTTACTGACTTCAGATCCTTCCTCTAATTCATCAAGATCAGAGTTATTGGTCTTTCCATGTGCTTAAAACTACTGCTAGATCATTGCAAAACCACAGTTTTAACATTCCTACTCTATATTCCATCCCTGAAGCCATTAAAGAAAAAATTTAACAAAACCAGACCCAGCAGAGACCATGGCATACCTCTAATACAGACTCTTGGATTAACTACAAATAACGATACCTATTTTCTGAAGAAATCTTTCAAATAGTTGCACCCTTGAAGATAATCATCAGCTCTTCAGTGTGGCTTCAGGCAATTTCTCTAGATTTCAGGGTAGACCATCTTGAACATATTAAGTATAGCTTCTAGAAATCCAGCTTACTGTTATGGTGCTGCAATGCCAGAAGGGTCCCAGGCACTTCTAAACAAATTCTTTCTAATTTGGTTGCTATAGAAAAAGGAGTTTCCACCAATGAGAGAAAGAAGAGGCTTAAGAAAAAGTGGAGTTGAACAAAATCCTCAACTAATGACTGCTAGACCATTGAGTAATTACGGGACCATCTTTGGCTTGGAGCTTAAACATCCTGAAGAACTTTCCCCCACATGAACATCCAATATTTAACTATAAATCCTCAGATGTGAATTCAGTTCTCACCATCTCCCTCTCTCCGTGTATACTCCTACCTCTTTTTCCTCTACCTATTTCTGTTACCTCCTTCAAGGGCTGAGGGAGGGGGTTCCTCTACTTTACAGGCATTATTGAAGAGCTCTTTCCTCATCAGTATTATAGTTCAAACCCCACTCTGAAACACATCAATGATACAAGTCATACTGCCAGCCTCAAATGCTTTCCCTGCAGCTTTGCTGCTAAGTGACCACACTACCTGCCAAGCTGGAGATAGGCACAGAAAACCCAAATGGGTAACAAGACAAACACATTTAAAAAGCATCAAAAAACCCTTTCTTTTCCTCAGAAAGCTCCCAGTTTTCTGCAGTCTGTCCAAAGACAACCAGTTTCAAAGCATACAGTACATCCTGCCAGAGAGCAACTATTTAAACACTATGGTATTTTAAGCATTTGGCAGAAATATTTATTTCTAATGAGCCTGTCTTGTAAATGAAGATGAGAATTCTTATTTTCAAGCTCTTCTGTTAATTTAGTTTTTTTTAATTTCTTCAATGATAACTTCTTGCGACACTCTGCAGTGTTAGTCTAATTAGGTAATAATCTGGATTGTTAATTAAGTGATTTGATATTCAAAAGGGCTACACACTAGAGTCAGAAACTTTGCAAATAGAATGATTTCTTTTTGAATCTGTATTTGGGCTACAGATTTTAATTCTTATTAATGTAATTTGTAGTTAAAGGGTATTTCAAGTACAGCTAAAACAGTTTATGTTGAGTAGGACACTTCATATACCAGGTCTCAACCTTCTCCTTACAGGTACCTAATTTTACACTCTTCATTGTGTAAAACAGTAAACCTGGTCCCACATATCATCAATCCACAGCTAAAAGTCCACAGTCAAATATCTTGTGTTTTGCTTGGAAGCTATTTCTTCCTCGTATTATTTTTATTTGAAAGGTAGTATAGCTGTCTACCTGTACCACAATGGTGAAAATTACTCTAGCACACATCACTCGTGCCTTCTTGGTGTTATTTTCACCTCACTTAATACAAAAAAAGTGGGTTTATCATTTAAAATTTTAGTCTTTATAGATGCAACATGGAGAGTATGACCAGATCAATTTCCCAAGATCCTTCATGAAAAGCAAGATTTCTTTCATTTGTTTACAAATTTAAAAAATTTTATTCTTTTCATTTAAAGTTAGAATTAATAGTAACCAAATTGAAGAGGCCCCTGAATTCAATAACACTAGTCAAATGAAGAGCAGAAGTGAATTCCCTTATTAAATCAATTCACCTTACTAGCATAGGTAGAAAAAGAGGAAGAGGAGCTATTTACATCTTTTCAAAATTCTTAGAAGGAAAAACAATGCTTATATAATCTTTTCAACGTTCAACAAATGAAATACCCTTAACACATATTTTAGTCTTGCAAAGAAATACTAATCAAAATTGGTAAAACTAATTTGACACTTATTCTGGCTTAATTCTGCACTTCACATGACTATCAGTCCACTTCCAGGTATGAGCACAGTGTAACACTGAAGAAAGATTACAGATATGGTTTCTACCATTGCATAGACATAGGTCATTACTTCTTTATACTCAGATAGTTCACAGTAATAACATGGAATTCTGAGTTGCTGAAACATTGCATAGGCCATTCAGATCATATGAAACAGGAATTAAGTTATTTTTGTAAGGTAAAAAAAAAAAAATACAGAAAATCAAGGTACCACCCTAATACAAGTCCAAACTTCATCAAAAACAATACCCACAAAGACAAGATAATAATCTCCCAATTTTAAGCATGAAGTGTGCATGAAATTAATCCCTACTTTTTCCTACAGATGTGAAGATGGCTGTAGGTAAAGGAGATCACTGAGATCAAATACAACAGTGGTATTATGGGGTCTAGGAGACTATGAAACTAAATGAGCATCCAATTTAAATTCACAGCAGGAAGATGGGGAAAAAAACCAAACTGTTTTCAAGTCAGCTGGAGTATGTGATGTTTACTAGGAGGTTGTCTCACTAGAGAAAATAAAAGGCAGGCAGAAAATGTCTTGCAACAGTACAAAGATGGCAGCCTTCAAACTCTACAGAAAAGGTGTGGCTTTGCTCCCACTCTTACTAAAAAGTATGAATATAGAAATAGACTATTAATATAATTCCTTTTAAAAATGGTAATTCTGTGATATCCATTTAAATCATTGTGCACCACTGAAATCTCTCCTACATTCCTTTTCCATATGAGAAATATTCAACACCTACTTAAATTAGTTTCATCTTTCATGTCAAGCTTTCTGTGAGACATCACCCAGCCAACGAGCACTTTCTAAAGCTGTAGTTTTTTTGATTCAGTATTACCACCACAGAATTAGTCATATGCATATGCCATAACATGCTTTCTGTGAGATATCACCCAGCCAACTAGCACTTTCTAAAGCTACAGATTTTTTGATTCAGTATTACCACCACTGAATTAGTCATATGCATATGCCATAACAATAGTAATGCAACCATAATTTCTCTAAGTAGAACTTTCCACTCCTCACTTTTCCATCACATTAGAAATGCACACATCTATAAATTCACTTGATACATTCAATTGAAAAGTGCAAAGAAATTTGTGATAAGGCTTTTAGAGGATGGAGATGATCACCTGGGGTTCATTTGCTGCCTTACTGTGTGTATGGTCTAAGAGCAGCAAGAAGTGATTGAATTGAGTTAAAACTTAGACTTCAAATGAACTTATTACCTAACTCATTCTAATGGTCACCAACCAGCGTTTGGTTTCCACACCCAGTGAAAAACCAACTGCTAACACAGTCAAATGGGCATCATTTTTAGTTTTGCTATACAAATACGTTTTGATTTGTGAACATCCACTTCATGTCTCACCTGGCATGACAGCAGTTTGCTGAGTGGCCGAGTCTGTACTTAAGGAAAGGCGACCACCTTTGGCCAGTCTGTCACAGAAGAGGGTGATGTTCTTCTTCAGTCTGCTAGTATCTTTGGGCATGGACAACTGGCTGCTGACAGTCAGCGCCTGTTCCTTAGAGCTCTTTGACAAACAAGTTCTTAACAAGTAAGAAATGGCAGCATCCACAGTTTCTTCCCAACCCTGAATCAAAGAAAAGGAGATAAATTAAAATTAGGTGAACAGCAATATGATATAGTGTATTAAAAACAAAGCAACAAATTAAGAACTAAGACTTTTCCAATTATATCAATATATAAAGTATTATTTGGGGGTTGAGTGTCGCAAGCACCCATTTTTTTTAGCTTGTCCAAACAAAAACTTCCCTAGCAAGCCTCAAAAAAAAAAAAAATCATCCAAATATTGACAGAGAAATGTAATTTCAATAATAATGATGATATATGAACAGTATATGTGTGATGTGACACAAAAGTTAAATTCAGTAGCTGTATCAGTAACTGAAAACTAGAAGTTCCTGGATGAAACATCTAAAATTAAAAACAGAATTAAGATGTAAATACAAACATAATACGTAGTATGCAGCCTTATGCTGAAGATATGTCAGAGCCAGGAGAAAGGTTTTCAATTATATGTTCTTTGGAATCACTGGCTAAGGTTCTGACAATATGCCCATAGCACAGAACACCATGACTGTGACACAGAGTTGCAGATATTCAGTATCAATACATATCAGATCAATGAGTCTCAAGTTATGACACCTACAGCACTAGCACAAGTGTACCAGTGCTCTGAGGAACTGGGACTTACACATGACAATCTTGAAGAGCTTGGACAGAGTTAAAGAGTAATATAGAAGGCTTCGTGGTCTGCTAACTTCAGGACTCACCACATCTCTTTGTATTCAGCTACCTGTAAGCAAGTTTTATATATGTGCTGCCCACATGTACAGAGAAGTAGTATTCAGCTGTTGCAGCATGAGTGTCTGGACTTATTTTGGCCATAGTTTTCATTGACGAGAAGTTTTGAGGCTACAATCTGGAGCCACCCAGCTCTATCTTCTGCTACACTAACAGAGGGTAACAGCATAGTGGTTCTTTGCATAGTGATTACTGAGGCAGAACAAAAAGAAAACTCAGGTAATCCAGTTGTAAATACAACCCCAGAGTCTTCTAGATTAAGCTTTCTCATTGATGCATTCTACTTGATTGAAAATCTTCAGCTGAACAGCAGATTTCCTACAACTGGGTAAATTTCCTATTCAAATTTCCATGACTGGATAAATTTAACATTTTAGAGAACAACAGTGTCAACCCTGTCACAGACCACTGTCAAACAAATAAGGTTCATTAATTTCTTTTATTAGATACCTACGGCTTTTATGAAGGCTAGGGTACTACTTTCAACACAGAGAAGCAAAGGCTACTCTTCCTGACCTGATTACTTCCTAAGAACAGCTCCAGGACAGATGCTTACTAGAGGTAAGTATGTCAGTGAGACCACAGAGTCATATGAATTTCATCCTTCTCCATCACTGCAAGTGTTCAAGACCAGGTTGGATGGGGCTTTGAGCAACCTGACCTAGTGGGAGGTGTCCCTGCTCATGACAAGGTAGTTGGAACCAGATGATCTGTAAGGTCCCTTCCAACCCAAACCAATCTATGATTTTGGTCCAAACACAGACTGTTCTTAATACCTGAAAACATAAGGTACGTGCATTAAATGTTTACATTTTGCAGAGGAAAAAGATCAACCTGTGTGATTTTCTTAGTCAACGTTTGCCTTTCCTGACAACATGAACCTACTGTCTTATCTGGATTCCCTCTCCCCCCAAAACACCATAAATTAGAAAAATCTTGCCAGTCAATCAATGCTGTGATAGCTTAACATTTTTCAAACATTCTAGAAAGATTCCATTGGAGTGTAATCCATCCACTGACCTGTGATGGTGACAGGAAATAATCCATTCTGCAGCCAATTTAACGAGGTTAATGAGCTGGTAAATGCCGTCTACATTCCTACATACTGGGCAATGAAACTTAATATGTACAGAGCATCGAAAACAGTCAAGCCAGGCACTCCTAATTATACTACAAATCATGAAAAATAAGGCAACATAAACATAAGAATCTGACTTTTGCTAGAAGATAAAGACACGTGATTAGCTGGTGTCAGCGTCCAGTAGCTGAGAGTTTGGCCAATATATCCCTTCAAATAAGATATAAAAAAGCAGGCAAAAGGAGCATTTAAATAAGGAGACTGAAATGCAAGCTAACAGAAGTCAGGAAATTAAAAGTAGCTAGTATTCTGTCCTTGGCTCACCCAGGCATGTTTTACTTTGTACCAGAGCCTTAACATTTTTCCAAACCTTGTTCTTGTATTTAATTTCCATGTAAAGCTGGTTTCTCAGTAGACCATAAAACTATATTCTCCAATTCGAGGAGTGTTGACCTAGGAATGGCAGTCAAATCCAAAGCAACCTTTTTGATTGGTGAAAGGGTACACAAAAAATGCCTACATGAAAAAAAAAACTTGACTGAAATATGTTGAGGTGATTTTAGACAACTAAGAATTAATGATTTCAAGTAATACTGAGTTTGCCATCAATTTTTATTGGTGCAAGGGGAGAATTGAGAAAACAAGAAAAATTCTTCACCCCTTATATGTTAAAAATGAAAGTGTCCTAATCTATAGTCCACTCTAAAGAATGATTCTACAGTCCACTCTAAAGAATGATTCTACAGTCATAGCTGCAACAGTCAGTAATGGCTTTCTGTAGAGTATTCTGCATGTTACAGGTCTGAAAAGAACACCTTCAACAGACCTTTGCAAAAGATGTTAGTCATTCTCTGATAAAAACCTTCTCTAAATAGGCTTAAGAACTTTGTAGGCAATCTTTTAAGTGATATGACTTCCTTGCTGCTCAAGAAACAAGTTACTTTGCCCACAGAAAGCTTCTACTTCTAATTTAGTTTATATAATATGAAATGAGAAGGCTTAGTTTTTCTCATTTAGTGAGAAGTGAGACTTAGAGGGAAGATTAGATGAAAATAAATGATGGTACTACTTAGACCACAGTTTCTCCAACCTGGAGTTAACCTGGGCAGGGTTGCTGGGTGTAAAAAAAGTGCTCCATAGGAAGCAGACCTGAAGATGTGAGCAGAAAGAAGTGGTTCCTGTCAGTGCTCAGAATAGGGTGCAGGGATACTACAGGATGAAGATATTCCAGTGACAGGATGGGGTGGACAATATGGAAAGAGGGGGATGGAAGTGACTGTTGGGAGGTACGTTTGAGAACAACTGGATTATGGAATTAACAGAACCCTAGGGATTGTGGATGATTAGATTAGTGAGCTACAAGTTAATACTATTTGTGTTAACCATAGATAAATCATTCTAATAGCACATCAGTTAAACTTGGACAAGGTTGATCCTAAATTGTGTTCATGAGCCAGACAGATACTTGATTCTGTATCTTAAGAAGTCCTCTTGAAAGGCCTGAATTGACTTTGAAAGCCTTTATCATTATTATTCCTATAAAGTAAGTTATCCCAGAGTGATATCTAAGAGAGTTCTGAAAGTTCAAATGCAATGTGAAACATACTGCAAAAACTATGCTAAATGGGTGTAAGCCAAATTATGGTAATTCTTACAGCTGTTAACTCCAGAGTTTGACTGGCTATATCTCATTTCTTTATTTTAGTCACAATAATGATTTCATCAGCTCTTAAAAATGAATACTTGGACACTCACTTTACTGAATGACAACCTGGGCACTTATGCTTATCCAAACCAAGAAAGAAGAGATTTTTACATCTGAAAGCACTGTATATGCTAATTCACAAGAAAGACCAGCCATGTGTCTCTCAACACGTTGATTTTACAGCAATTTTTTAAAAAAAATTATCTTACTGCTACACATACTAATGCTAATCCACCAATCCAGGGCTACCAAACTGATAGTCTCCAACACAGGCACAAACCATCAGCAAATTTTGCCAGGACTGTGCTACCAGTCATCCTGACCCACATTCTTCAAGCATATTCTATATATCTAACTAATCTATTTGTCTCAAACAGGTCATAAGAGCCACAGCAGCCACAAAAATGGCATGCAACAGTTGCCTGCTCTGCCAGAAATGGAGCTGACATACTTTCCTTGTGCAGTGTTCCTGAAAAGTTACTGCCAAAAATTAATTGATAAGGCATTTAGGATGCCTTTTGAACAGAGTCTGAAATAAGATGAAAGAAAAAGCCCAGTAAATAGACTATCTATAGAGCACTCAGGAAAAATGCAGTAAAATAATACTGAAGTCTTAATGTATAAAACTTTGAACAGTCCCAAGAGACTGTGTTTTTTAAGATGCACATGACTTGAAGAATTATCCTTGTAACAATCTAAAACCAGCTTTCTTCAACATAATGCATTAAAAACTCTAGTCAGATGATTCTAGAATCTTCTACAATTCACTTTTGTTCAAAAAAAAAGAAAATAAGAAAAATGAACAAAGAAAACCCTCCACATATATAAGTAACAAAAATATACTGGAATACCTAAAAAGCAGGGAAATGGTAAAATCCTTCAGACTAGTGGAATTCAAGTCTGATGAAAATCCAGACAAATGACTCAAGCTTAAATACATTCCATATCTATTAAGAGCCTAACAGGGACATTTGTAGCGAGTACACAATAGAAAAAGCACCAACTGAAATTCTTATACTAATCCTGATCTCTTTAGTCATCTCTTTCTTTCAGTGTAATTATTATGCATAACATCCATAATATTAAGTGATCTGATTTTTATTTCTATTGGCATTTAAAATAATTTCATGCCTACAGGAATTTGCAGACTGATGAAAACAATACCCAAGTGAGGATCTAGCTGAACATCCATGACAAGGTATGAGACAGAATAACTAAAATCAAGAAAATTAATAAAATGCATAGTTCTAGAGGAATAGTTCAAAACATTAGATGTATCAATTTCAATTTAATTCAAGGAAAGAATTTTAGGGAGAAAATCATCCTTATTGTGAGACAGTACTCTGAAGTCCTAACCCACTGCTAAAAGCTATGTTGTAGGCATTATAGACATTTAAATCTTATTAAGGATTTAGACATGGCATACTTACCTACTACAAACAAATTATAATTTACTTAAAACACAAGGGATAAAAGAAAGGCA